TTTTCGATTGGTTGAAGTTATACTTTTGATTGGTTGAAGTCTAGTTATTTTTCGTGTCATTTTGCCGATAGTGAGGTCGAATATGTTGAGGATATATTTTACCCTTGCCGCCATCGATCACGTTGAGTCTGCTATGCTGAGTCAGATTTCAGTTATTAATTTATGTCTAGAGTAGATTTAGCTACTCGCAGGAGTATGTATTTTACAAATATGTTGTGTATGGTCAGCGTGGTTAAATAAATTTTTAAATTAAGTAAGTAAGCAAGTATATGTATAAGGCTAAATGATTTGTTTAGGTAGGCTATATAGTGATTGTTTTGTGAGGAACCATATAGTATGATAACTGATTAGTATCCTCAGATAACGCATAACACTGAGTCACTAGAAGAAAATAATATCTATATCTTTCGAAACCAAAGCTTATTGCTTTTGAAATATAATATACAAAAGCGAGAATATATACAAAAGCGAGAAGAGAAAGGAGCACCCGCACAAGAGCACAAATCCATTTATCCGCGAGTTATTACCGATAAAACCTTTGCATTCTCGTGCACAGAGTCCTTGTTTTGAATCCGGTTTTGTCTATTTCGAGTCCGGGTTTTCAGAAGTCAAGTCCGGGTTTTGTTAAACACCAACCTCGTTCCCAGGGCTTTTCCCTTTTTGTCATTGGGAAGGCGGGAAAAGGCCCTGGCACCGGCCGGTCTTCTATGTATTCTGATTGGTCAATGACAAGTATATTATTATGCAAATAATGCAATCTTGGATTAATTTATTCAAACTTTGGGATAAATTAACATTTTCACGCAAGGAGTTTGTCCGTCTAAGAAATATTTTTGGCAAAATCTGTGCCAAAATGGTTAAATTCGATAAGATTTATACACAATTTGTCGAAGGTTAGTATTATTGTTTGTTTTAAACTGTGAGAGAAGATTAATTGTGTACTAGAACACACCTCTGAGGCTCTGACCGAGAATTTAGGGCAAAATGTGCCTTCATTGGCTTCGTATGCAACAGTGTTTACAAGTACAACTTTTGAATAATATGCGATTTGGTTTTGTTTCAGATACTATTACATATTGCTTCATTTTACCATAAATTGTGTTAAAAAAGTGATTTGCTCATTTGGCTGATGTTACAGTTTTCTGATGTGTTTTGTTTGGATGATATTAGAACAATTTCAATATGAAAGTGCAGGTGTATAATTTAGACATGAGCCATAATGTATATATATATATCAAAATACTGATAAAATCCATTTCCAGCTTGATTATATTTGCATTGTTGCAGACAAAGTTGTGCAATGATGGGCTTATGTCACATACTCGTATGTAATTCCTTGTGCGGCACATAGTTCCCATGTAATAAAAGCTGAAGAATTTGATTTCGAGTACGTCGGTAGCAAAAAGAAGGAAAAATTTCAAAGACTAAACGCATTTTTAAGCCGCTCTAAGCACTTAAATTTTGTGGACACTCTTAGGTTGGCGGCCATCTTGGATTTTCTAATTCATTATTCTTATAATTTATTACACCCACTATATGTGGGTGTTGAAAGTCATGTGACCGGCCGATGCCAGGGCCTTTTCCCGCCTTCCCAATGACAAAAAGGGAAATGCCCTGGGAACGAGGTTGGTTAAACACGAGTCCGGATTTTCTTCGAGTCCGGGTCCGGGTTTTTCTCGAGTCCGGATTTTCTTCGGGTCCGAGTCCGGTCCGGGTTTCGAAGTATTCCCGTTTTCATATCGAAATTTTCAAATTTATCCAATTGGCGTAGTCCCTAAAAAACATTCTTCTGATTGGCGCACGATTTTCCATCTGTCTCACCCAAAATCATCTAGCACCAGCGTTAACGCGAATATTTCAAAAGAAAACTACTCGCTAGAATACGTAAAAATCGACGATGCTATGCATCATATAGGCGTAAAAATCTTACAACAGTCCCAGGCTCCAGATTTGAGCGACGTAATTTGTAAAAGACAAGATGGCGGACAGTTCTCATAGTGGGCATGTACTAAAAGGCGAAACGTCGAAACGAAACGACCGAAACGAAACGGCCGAAACCATCGAAACGACCGAAACGAAACGACCGAAACGAAACGACCGAAACGAAACAACCGAAACGAAACAACCGAAACGAAACGACCGAAACGACCGAAACGAAACGGCCGAAAATGTAAATTACAGGAAAATTGAAAAATGCGGATACGGACGGACGGACGGGGGGGGACAGTCGGATGGACGGGGGAAGAGGCGGATGGACGGGGGAGGGGACAGGCGGATGGACGGGGGGGGACGGCTTCATTTGACACGAAACTCAATTTTAAAATCAAATCCGAGTTTTGTTGAAAGGGATATATTAGGATATATTATAAAAGACTATTATTAATCGTAATAAATTGTCCGCGAAAAGTTGATAAAATACATGCGGGGTTTTTCAAACCTTCGTAACGCTTGATCGGATAAAACGCGGATATGCTGCAACTTTCATGCTTAATTTTCTCAGTCATCTGGGTATGTAGTAATCTAATTTTATGCAATGTAATGTGTTATATTTTCAAGGGCTTTTCAATGCAGTTATCGGTTTAAATATACCTAAAATTCCCGTTAAGATATGACAATGGACCATTTGCATTATAGACCAAATTTTGATCTAGTCAAAAATTTCATCACAGCTTGAAAGAGCATCACAAAATTAGTAATATTTCAAAGTTTCGTTTGCGAAATGTTGTAAAATGCGGATAATATAGCCTTGCGAAATTTGCAATTTTCAGTCATTTTGTATTACAAACGGGAAATTGATGCCCCAACACCCGATTGGGCTGTCAATTTCCCGTGCGTAATACAAAATGACTGAAAAACGGCAAACTTTGCAAGGTTATATTATCAACATTTTACAACATTTCGCAACGAAACTTTGGAATATTACTAATTTTGTGATGCTCTAGCTTTCGAGCTGTGATGAAAGTTTTGTCTAGATCAAAATTTAGTGTATAATGCAAATGGTCCATTGCCGTACGGCCTACTTTTACGCAAACGAAAATTACAACTGCAAATTTCATGCTTAATTTTCTCTGTTATATTATTTGGGCATGTAGTAATGTATATTTTATGCCAATGTAAGGTGCTATTTTTCAAGGGCTTTTCGATGCAGTTATTGGTTTAAATATAATTCAAATTCCCGTTAAGATATGACAATTGCCGTACGGACTACTTTTACGCAAACGCAAATTACAACTGCAAATTTCATCAGCACATTACATTGGCATAAAATTACATTACTACATGCCCGGATATTAACAGAGAAAATTAAGCATGAAAGTGGCAATTGTAGCTAATTTTCGCTTGCGTAAAAGTAGGCCGTAAGGCAATTGTCATATCTTAACGGGAATTTTAGGTATATTTAAACCGATAACTGCATTGAAAAGCCCTTGAAAATATAACACATTACATTGCATAAAATTATATTACTACATACCCAGATGACTGAGAAAATTAAGCATGAAAGTTGCAGCATATCCGCGTTTTATCCGATCAAGCGTTACGAAGGTTCGAAAAACCCCGCATTTCCACATGTATTTTATCAACTTTTGGCGGACAATTTATTACGATTAATAATAGTCTTTTATAATATATCCTAATATATCCCTTTCAACAAAACGCGGATTTGATTTTAAATATCAGTTTCGTGTCAAATGAAGCCGTCCCCCCCCCGTCGACCCGCCTGTCCCCCCCGTCCATCCGCCTCTTCCCCCGTCCATCCACCTGTCCCCCACCCGTCCATCCGCCTCTTCCCCCGTCCATCCGCCTGTCTCCCCCGTACATCCGCCTGTCCCCTCCGTCCGTCCGTCCGTCCGTATCCGCATTTTTCAATTTTCCTGTGTTTTATATTTTCGGCCGTTTCGTTTCGGCCGTTTCGTTTCGTTTCGGTCGTTTCGTTTCGGTTGTTTCGTTTCGGTCGTTTCGTTTCGGTTGTTTCGTTTCGGTCGTTTCGTTTCGGTCGTTTCGGTGGTTTCGATGGTTTCGGCCGTTTCGTTTCGGTCGTTTCGTTTCGACGTTTCGCCTTTTAGTACATGCCGGTCTCAAGGCCAAGGGCAAGGTCAAGTTCATTACATTTTACAGTCGTTCGGATGTTTTCGAACTCTTGCTTCATGCAAGAGCAGTAAACGCACGCATTTCAAAGCGAAATTAAACGCAAAGGGGCAATTTTTCAACTAAATTTATTGTTAAATTCTGTTTCCTATGTGCCTTGGGAGCAAAAAAATATGATTTTAAATTTGGAGGAATCGGTAATTTTTTTTGCAATTTGGCCTGGTATTGCACCCTACCTATGCAATGACTGTGCTGTAAAACTAATCAAACATACAATTTTGAATTTCCCTTTATTGAAAGGATCTACTTTTGTGGACTAAACTAACTTTTAATCAGCATTCAAGGCTGCAAACAACAGCCAAGAATTAGCTGGGTAGTTTGCAAACTTTAAAAATAATTGCACCTTCAAACTTTGATCCCCAAAAGTAAACAAATGGCCAATACTGCGAACATAATCCAAGTTTTGACCACTAGGGGCAATTTTTAGATGTAAAAAAACTTGTTTAAATTACATATCAAACAAAGGCAAAACAAAATTTGGTATTATTTTTTTGGAGGAATCGTCAAGGTTTTTTGCTATCTGCCCAAGCTTCTACAACCCCTCCCCCAGGATCTTCTCTATTAGAAAACAGTTTCCTGCAGAAACTATGCTTTTTTATCGGGAAAATGTTTACTTTTCTCAAAAAAATACTTTATAAACACGGAAACCTTAAATATTTATACAATTTCCATACCTTTTTGGGATTGCAAAAAGCAAAATTTGATTCATAATCACACTTTTTAAAATATATGTGACAAAGTTGCTTCGAAATCACTATCACGCAGTAGCATGTTTATTTACCCTCATCCTTTGGACTGAATAAAGTTTATCTTTTTGAGAAGCTATTTGTTTTATAGCTCTTGGTTAGCAGTTTACGTTTATCGGCGATTTTGGCACCCATGAGCCAACAAGTTGTGCTAATCCGCGAATGAAAACTGATATTCGAAGAGCACAAAAGCCAACTCCTAGCTATGTAACTTTATCGCCTGAATTTTGAATCAATCCACAATTAAATTGCTGGTAATGTAGATGCTTTCCATACTTGAGATGTTAGTAAAGTTTTTCCAACAATTTAATTTCCTTGATCGCCGTCTTAAAAATGCAAAATCATAAGTTGAAATTCCACTCGTGTTGTTTTTTCAAATTTTCGAATTTTTGTAAAATATCACGTGCGCCAGCAATTTCTCTGCACAGCGACAACAAATTTCCCAGCTGTTTAATTTGCTACGAAATTTTTTTTTCAACTTTTAATACCATTTACTTTAAGTGATATTATTTACTTTTCAATTGCTGATGAGCCGCTCAATTTTTCTTCATTCTTTGTTTTTCTTTTCATAATTTTTCATAATTGTCTCTGTGCAGGAGTGTGGCCAGGGGGTTCTAATGGTCGATTAGATAGAACAAAGCCAAATTTTCCGTTCACACTCACCCCCCAGCAACATTATCACATATTTATGTTTAAAGGCACGAAATCCATGCAAATTTAGGAAAATTGACTAATACATAATTGCACATGCCAGGAAATTTGGAAGGAAAATTTGTAATGTTTGGAAGGAAATTTTATAAACTAAGGATAGAAAGGAAATTTAGTGTTGGGCAAGTGGAAGCAGTGGAACAATCAGCTACTAGCTATAATATTTTATGTGAAAATGAAGGTGTTGTAGATGGAAATTATCGAGTGGAAATTTATATATTTAATTCAGTGGATATTCGATCAACTGAGATGTCAACAAAATCTTGATATTTACCAATAACCTACAGGAGCGGCGGAAAGTCAATAATTGTGGGGGGGGGGGCTGATATTCATATATTCGTGTTCACAGACTGTAAAAACAATCACTTTCAAAGGAAATAAATGATGCAGAACATGAATATATGAATATCAGCCCCCCCAATTATCGACTTTCCGCCGCCCCTGATAACCTATACATGGCCATATCCTAGTACTGTATACAGCTATTTCAATTAAGGATGTCCCGGAGCAAAACAAAAAAGTCGAATACAGGCGCAAAAGGCTGCTGGTAATCGCTAAAAAATTCTTTAATCCACCTATTAGCTGTATACAGCTTTTAATTGAAATAGCTGTATAGAGCTAATAGGTGGATTCAAATTGGTTCATTTACATACCGGTATATCAAAAAGTTATGCGTACACACATGCATACAGCCGCTGTATTATGCACCTACCAATGTAAATTCTGAGTGGGGGCAACGGGTGGAGATTTGAAAAAACTTGAAATTTTGAGTAAAATTTACTTGGTTGGGGAGACCAATATCAATCGAATGTATAAAAAATTCCCCACATTCTTCACACTGAAAAACAATTGATACAATATTATAGCCCAAACAACTATTTATTGGGTTTAATGCTTCACTGCTTCTTGTAGGATCTTCAGAAATGTCAGTCAAATGTCCAGGGATGCCGAGAGGGGTGGGAGGGCAAATTGCCCTTGGGCCTTGGCCCCCACCTTGATAGGGCCCCAACTTGAGAGCACAAGACTAAAATTGAGTAAGTTCTTTAATTTTTGAAATTGAGGGCCCCTTACAGTAGCTCCACATGCAGTCTAGCTAAGATCTAGTTGGGTTACTGACTTGGGTCTAGCTTAAAAATGATGTCATGGGGGCCCCAGAGAAGAGTCTCACGAGTTTTCTCTGCAGCCCTGCAAATGTCCCACCCCCCGGGATAACATTGATGTTTAAATTCCCTAGGGAAGGGATAAGCACTCCAGTCAAATGCCCAGCCTTTACCCCCCCCCCCATCCCCAGGAGTTTACATTGATAGGTGCATTATATTTAGAGGGCTGCCTATTAATCTTGCTGTATACTATACCTTTCTCAAAATCAAATTCATCTTCAATTTTGTCCTCAACAAGAAGACAGTCAAATCCTCCTTTCATCTTCAAGTAAATACACCCTTGTCCGGCAAGCAACTTGATTTGTTGGTAGTTGTATTCGCCGACAGTAACTGGTTTTGTTATTCTGCGACGATTGGCTCGCACGAACTCGAAGTCTGTATCAGACACCATAGGAAATTTTATTCTAATTGCCTCCCCAAGTTTTGCACGAATGTCCTTCTCAGTAGCAGCTTTTGTGACCTCAATGAAACCACGAAGCGCCATCATGTTTTCTTCGTAAACAATTATCTCAGTGTCCTCGCATAATTCTCCTATTTGGAGAAGGACGAACTCGAAAACCTTTGGCTTTTCGTCAGTTACAACACGCGGCTTCTTCGGCTTTGTTTCTGATGCTGGTTTTGTTGCCCTCAGTCGCTCTTTTTTTCCTAATCGCGAGTATAAACCTTTCGAGGAAGATTGCTGAATCATCAATCGCGCCCTGTTAACGGCTGAACTCACAACACTGACATGCTGGCTAGACGAAGATTCGCATGATCGATTTCTTGCAGCCTCGGGGGTCCGTTCATTTTGTATTGCCTGCGATACACGTTCGGAAGAGGTCGACGAGCTACTATTCTGTGGTTGTTGAGTTGGCTGTTGTAATATATCGTTGATTAGGCTACTAGCCTGACTTAAACATGCAGAAAGTTCACGAAGATTGCCCTTCTCATCTCCAGCCATTTTGGGATTTGGGAATGTTGACATGTGTTTTTGTCCAGTAAAACCAGTTTCCGCGGGACAGTGCTTCCAGTTTGAAAACCCCAAATTTCTCAATTTTACATGCGCCAGATTATTAAATCAACATTGAAGACTTCCCGAAGAAATAGCGAGACACTCGCGGTTGTTGTATGTTTTTGAATTCCTGCTTAACTTAATCTTTGTAATTTGTTGCTAGAAACAAAGACAAGCCCCGTTCCGCGGCCCATGCCACCAAACGACGCCCTGCACTTCGCCCTGCTCTTCTCCCGCCCGCACTAAACGCGTGCTACATGGGCTAGCTACCACCCGTTGCAGACGGGCAAATTATGTTACTTTGTTGAATGGTTTTGTTGAACGTTGAATGTTTTTTGTTGAATGTTTTTTTGTTGAACGTTGAATGTTTTTTTGTTGAACGTTGAATGTTTTTTTGTTGAACGTTGAATGTTTTTTTGTTGAATGTTTTTTGTTGAACGTTGAATGTTTTTGTTGAACGTTGAATGTTTTTGTTGAACGTTGAATTTTTTTGTTGAACGTTGAATGTTTTTTTGTTGAACGTTGAATTTTTTTGTTGAACGTTGAATTTTTTTGTTGAACGTTGAATTTTTTTGTTGAACGTTGAATTTTTTTGTTGAACGTTGAATTTTTTTGTTGAATGCGTTGTTGAATGTTGAATTTTATTGATCATTAAAGGTTGAAATTCAATTGGTTGAATATTGCTACAAATGGCTTGCCATAATGGTACTAGTATGGAAAGTAATCCACATTTCTTTTTTTAGAGTTTTTTCAGGTCACATCAAGGAGGTGGATGGGAAACCGCCAAAGGAAACGCAATGGGGAGAGAAACCGTCATTTGGAACATGCTTGGCTGAATTTTCAAATGGAAGAGGTTCGATCTTAATTGTTACTGTACCGTGTTTATACATGTAGGCTGTTGCAGTATATCGGGTTTTAAATTATCGGTAATTTGATATTTGATTTTCCGATGTATCGATATACCGAAAATATTGAAATACAGAAATACACTTGTATGTTCGGTAATCGGTATTTTCAGTGTCGAGAGTGCACAACAACTTGTAGATAAAATTTTTCGACGTTTACAACTTTACAGAAAGTATAGACTTGAAAATTCTGAGTAGTCGGTAGTTGTTTTGTCGAAAGATGTTTCGCCTATCAGTTTTGTGTGAAATTTCTCGAATATATATTGAATAACATGTATGTATTAGGAATAGCACGAATTGTTTTTGTGTACTTTGGCAAAAATGAGGTTTTGAGGTACTTGCAACTGTTGTGTTGAAATGATACTATAATGATATGTATGCTGATCATGGTACTGACCACTGATAATTTATGTGACTCTAATGATAACTGATCATTAAGCATACTGATCATAACTGATCATTAATCATACTGATCATAACTGGTCATTAATCATACTGATCATAACTGGTCATTGATCACACTGATCATAAGTGACATTAATATATTTATGTGACTCCAACATGAAATGGCTTCGCGGAATCTTTGTGAAACGTTCCATATTTATCATGTTGCACGCACCACGCCTTGTCACACCTCCCTATGAGCCCCTCCCCCTCCCTATGAGACTCTCCCCCTCCCTATGAGCCCCTCCCCCTCCCTATGAGACCCTCCCCCTCCCTATGAGACTCTCCCCCTCCCTATGAGACCCTCCCTATGAGACCCTCCCTCCCTATGAGACCCCCCTCCCCCTATGAGACCCCTCCCTATGAGACCCCTCCCTATGAGACTTTCCTCCCTATGAGACCCTCCCTCCCTATGAGACCCTCCCCCTCCCTTTGAGACCCTCCCCCTTCCTATGAGACCCTCCTCCTCCCTATGAGACCCTCCCTTGTTAACGTTTCAGGACTAAACGACTGTCTAAGAACACCGCGGAAAAACGTCTGCGCATGCACCAAATTATGAAAATATGGCGGGGAATTTGAATATCAATTTCTAAAACAAAAACATGCTTATTAATTGGTCAAAAATTAGTAAAACAAACGAGAAAATATAGCAAATGGGTAGACTAGACATTAATTGAAAGCGTCCTGGCATTTAAAGTATGGAATGAAATATAATGCATGTAAAAAATTGTTGATTTTAACGGACACGACTTCAAAATTTTTTCCAAAATTATTCAAAACAAAAATTCAAACTCAAAAGTTAAGAAAACTCTCGAAAAGTTAAACTTCTTAACCCACTCAAATTGTAGAATAAATCCTAAAGTTTAGTTATTGTGAACACGAAATTTTTTTATATTTGGCGACACAGTTTTTTTTAAAGAAATGTATCTCAAACGAAAATTCGGAAATTGTCGTTGCTTAGTTGATAAACAAAATGTTTTAGACGATAAACTTGTCAACAATCACCTTTAGTTCATGTTCTTGTACAATACAATTTCTTGAACCTTCTGGCTGTATTTATTCCTAGTTTTTAGAATGACATGTTTATTTTCGCGCTCGAAATCTGGCTGTAAAGACGCACAATGAAGTCACTCCTTTTTACCGCCATTTTGAGCCTTCGGAAACTTTCGGAACAGCTTCTCATCAAGTTCGCAATACTATTACAGGTAAGGTTGACGCATGCGCAGACGTTTTTCCGCGGTGTTCTGTCTAAGCCTTCGGTCACGTTAACGCTGAGTCCTTCGTAGTGCGTCTGCGCCGCAAGCTACGTCCTGCGCGCTCGGTTGCAAAAAAAGATGACCAACATCCTCTAGTTTGCCCCTCACCTACAGTCCCAAGAATTGGCTGAAAATGTATCTAATTTGTAATATGCTTACAGGTGGTTGGGTGCACGATGTTTCATTCTCGGCTGCTGGTGACAAGTTAGCCTGGGTTGGTCATGATTCCAGCATAAGTGTTGTTGCTGCTGCAAATCAAGCCCAAATCTACACCATCAAGGGTGAATTCTTGCCACTGATAACGTGCACTTGGATCACAAGTAACAGTGTTGTTGCGGCAGGTAAGACCCATGCGTACATTGGAATTGGCACACACTAAGATGATGGAAAGGGGGTTATATAATAACTACAGTGAAGCACGCAATCTGTTTGGTCGATTCAATCCTACAGGGAAAATTTAAATGTCGGACAACGAAAACATTTCGATGCGTGAAATAAACAATAACAGTATATTAAACGAGCGGCAAGTTCACCGAAACAGTGAACAAAGGTTTACAATAACTACAGAGAGTGAATTAACTTGAAAATACCGAATGTTTTTTTTTTCGTGTGGGATGGCGTGATCCATGCACTCGGGATGTGTCTCGTTTTACGCTTTCCGAAAGTCTCGAAACATCCCGCGTGCATGGATCACGCAATCCTGCACGGAAAACCATTCGGTATTCGTTTAATCTATTCCTCCCGTCACTATTTTCGCATTCTCTATAAGTCAATTCAGAGTTTCCATTGCGTTGGGATAGATTGCAATTGATGATAACATGTAGTTGATGAGACTCAAAGAATTAGAATATTCTCATCAAAAGATTGAACTGTTCAGTCATCATTTGAATATGCAAAAAGTATAAGCTCAAAGGACAATTAGTTTCCTAGCCGATACTCAGCTTCTATTTTCCCTTCCTTAAATAACAAGAACCTATACAGTAGTTCAGCCAATCCACCAGGAACCTAGTCCAACCGATTCAAGCACACGCCAAGAAACTCGATGTCTCACGTCACAGACAACGTATACCAACGTGGCTTTGTACTTAATGGTCAATCGAATAATACTGCTCACCTGAGCGAGATGAATATTTTCCAATGTAAATACTTTGCCCAGGAAACTTGTGAACTTATTTGCCTGGCATTTGAGATACCACATACGAATCATACGAATTTTTTGGCGCTTATTCTTGTATTCTTACGACACTTTTTTTTAACGTTTTAAACGATATAAATCCTTTATCTGTTTTGGCGTCAAGTCGGCAATCAGGAGGTAAATTCCGTCCTCGATTCCATATAAACAGGCAGCTTGTTTGTCCCACCGCCAATGGACAATTTGCATTATAGACTAAATTTTGATCTAGACAAGTCTAGACAAAAATTTCATCACAGCCTGAAAGAGCATCACAAAATTAGTAATATTCCAAAGTTTCGTTGCGAAATGTTGTAAAATACGGATAATATAGCCTTGCGAAGTTTGCCGTTTTTCAGTCATTTTGTATTACGCACGGGAAATTGACAGCCTAATCGGGTGTTGGGGTAACAATTTCCCGTTTGTAATACAAAATGACTGAAAATTGCAAATTTCGCAAGGCTAAAACTTTATAACAAACGTACTTGCAGGGAGGTGAGTCCGGGATTGGACGCACCGAGGGTGGCTGGAAGTTTCCCGAACTTACCGAGCGAAGCGAGGTGAGTTCGGGAAACTTCCAGCCACCCGAGGTGCGTCCAATCCCGGACTCACCGAAGCTGCAAGTACGTTTGGTTTTTATCCCATACACCGAGCCATACACACATTTGTAGCTCTTCGCGATATATTCGTCGTCTCGTCGATGTTTTGTGAACATTTTCCCGGCCAAAAAAATCACTGGGCAAGAAAATACTTCTTTATCTACGTCTAAATTACCTTTACTGCATTATTTCTTTGGTTTTTCTTCAGTCTCAGTATGTTAGTCACCGAAAAAAGTTCTTTAAAGTTTAGGTTTATCGGCTAAATCTTGTCCGCCATATTTGTTATTGTTATTGCAACGTAAGCAGTTTATCAGGTGAGTTCGGGCGAAAAGCAGGTGAGCTCGACAAAAAGCAGGTGAGCTCGACGACAAGCTCACCTGCTCTAGACCAATCAGAAAGCCGCTTTTAACACAGGTATGGGATAATGGAATATTACTAATTTTGTGATGCTTTTCAAGCTGTGATGAACTTTTGTCTAGACCAAAATTTAGTCTATAATGCAAATGGCGCATACAGTATATAAATGAAAAGATGTGTGTTGCGCACCACTTGGTTGAACTAGAATGCTGGGTTTGGTGGATAATCGCAGGGCCACAGGTTCGATTCCTGCCAGAGGACCTAGTGTTGCATTTTTCGCAACCGTTCCGGGTTAGGTGACTTAGGTCTTAGATTGTGTTTATATATGCTCGCTTGGATAATCCACCAAACCCTGCGTTCCATAGAAACTGGGCTAGCCTGTTTTCTGGGGTGGAAGTGCAAGGAGATGCTGTTGCGAGTTTATCAATTCGAGGGTGACATTTTGTAGGTCATGACTACGTGCCGTTCCTGTTCAGTGTTGACGATGCTGGTCAACTGACCTTCAATCAGAAACTGGATGTTGCTAAGAAGAAGGAATCTGAGACTATGAGTGCAATGGCAAAGTTCAGAACTATGGATAAAGAAGCATCCACAGGAGATTCTGGAAAGGGTGTTAATACCACTCATCAAAATTCAATCACGTGAGTTAAATCGATATAATTATTGCAGTAATCAGAAGCTTACTAAGAAATGTTACCTGTCACGTTTTACGAGGAGTTACTATTTTTAGGGTTTTGTAATTTTGTATTCTTTTGCATTTTAAACTTAACCTTAAACCTAAACCTAACCCTTACTCTAATCCTAACCCTAATCTTAATCCTAACCCTTGAAGGCTTTAGTACTGTAGATGGAAATTATCGAGTGGAAATTTATATACTAACAGCATCTAGTGATAAGATGTTTTCGTATTTTTTGAAGGGTTTAGCATATATGAAAATTACCGAGTGGAAATTTATACACATTTAAATGTATTTAATAGATTTGAAGATTTGTAATCCAGGCATTTTATTAAATTATAATTTTTACAAAATTATACAGTGTTCTCCGGATTGTAAGTATTTGCTTTGAGCTTTCGACTCGGTACTTTCATTTGAATTGAATTCATTTGATCATTTGATCATTTGAATTTTCGCGCTGTTGTTGACGCTGTTGAAGTCTGTGGGAACGTCTGATTGGTTGTATACACGTAAATGTATATAAATTTACATGAGGTTAAATAGATTTAAGCAAGGTTAACGGCAGATGTATTATATATGCATGTATGTTGACTTAAAATCTTGATATTTACCCATAACCTAACAGGGGCAGTACCCTAGTATACATATATTATATGAACTTGTGGTTAGAGCTCGACAACTGAACTCGATCTCTCAGTTGGTTCGAGCACTGCACCGGAATAGCTGGGCCGCAGGTTCGGTTCCTGCCAGAGGGCCTATAGTTGCATTTTTTGCAACTGCTCCTGGTTAGGTTCAATAAATGTACCTTCAAACACTCATTAATAATTCATAAGCTTATTGGCAAATCATGTCAACCGTAATATGTCACGTGCAGTGCCTTTAAACCTGATAAAACACTCCTAATTAGTATTCTTTATACAAAGAATACTAATAAGGCAGTATCTATTGTAGTCGTGTCCTCATTAGTATTTTTTATATAAAGAATACTAATAAGGCGGTATATCTATTGAATTTGTAGTCGTGTTTGAAGCCGTTTAATAAACTCGCAGGTCGTGTTTTATTAGGTCTAAAGCCACTCGCGCTGCGCGCTCGTGTCTTTAAACCTAATAAAACACTCCTGCTCGTTTATTAAACAGTACTTAATGTTACATAGTTAGTAATGAAACGTTAATATTATTTATTATATAATACCTTATTGAATTCTGATCGTTTAATTGGCTGTTTATGGTCACGTGATATTGAATAGAAAATTCCATTTCCCAAGAATGCAATGGAATACGTTCCATTGCACTCTTGCGGGTGCAATTGTACTATACGTTTTATTCCATTGCACTCTTTGTGTTTTCGATAAATCGCATCCGTCAAAAATGCTTCTCGTAAGGTGATCGCAGTTTATTTTAACCCGATATTCGAAACTCAGTAAATGGGATTTAATGCAAATACGACTCGTCAAAATGGCGGGAGTTTACAGTAAACCTTTTAATATTTGTCTATTTTGGTATTATATAAAACAATTCGTGTAATGGTAAGAATATTTTCATTCGGTGAAAGATGAAATGTTCCATTCAACTCGGCTGTCGCCTCGTTGAATGGAACATTCCATCTTTCACCTCATGAAAATATTCTTGCATATTCATGAAAATACCCTTGCACTCATAAACATTCATTATTTGTATAATATTAGATCGAGATCTAATATTAGCATTAAGGACTGGGTTTATTTTTTATATTTCTAAACAAATGATCAGTGTTCCAAACGAATAAATAGATAAATAAAATAAATACATGCACGTGACGTTTTCCACAAAACAATTGTATTAGTTTTCAGCATGCCTACTTACAAGAAACTTACTGAATGTTTACTAATTTATTTATAGTCAAATTTCAATTCATACTGGAGACAAGCGAAGCACAAGCAAGTTTGCTTCCGCTGGTGTTGATGGACGCTTTGTTATCTGGGATGTGAAGGTGAGATTGTCTAATTTGTATATGTAATAGTATGATTTCGAGTGCAGTTTGGTAAAAGAATATGCACGAGTGCACTGGTAAAAGAATATGCACGAGTGCACTGGTAAAAGAATATGCACGAGTGCACTGGTAAAAGAATATGCACGAGTGCACTGGTAAAAGAATATGCACGAGTGCATGGTTTTTCAAAAGACGATCAAAATTGCACGAGTCCGAAAGGCGAGGAATTTGAAGTCTTATACAGGGTGGGATAATTCGCGTACTTACTGTACGTACCGGAGGTATGCTAATATTACGGTCTGGTACTTCTTTGTTTCCAGCCACGTAGGTACGTGGAACTCTTGCCACCGCCTACTTACTTTTTGCTGGTACCACGTGACCTTTCCAAGCCCAAGGTATTCAATAGCGTAATTTAGTTGGTACAACATGTGTCTGAGATGTCTTGACATGAAACATGATTGGACTGATGGCACTAAGAAACGTTGGAGTCGATTGTTTGTATATGCAATTGTGCTTCTTTTCTACCTCGTAGTCTGAACATACTTTTCAGAAACCTGTATTTTATGAACCTTATTTTAATGACTAAGTACACATTGAGTGCTGAGTTTGTACTAGCATATAAGTACGCGGCAACAACCATTGGCGTACCAGTCAGGTACGACTAAACATCTTGAATTATCGCACCCTACTAAGTCTTTCGAAAACTCACGAGTGCATACGATTTTCCAAATAAATGCACGGGAAAAACTATGATTTACGTATTAATAATATACATGAAAAAATTATGCATAGAAGTAAATTCATATTCACTTGTGTGCATGAAACTGATGCGAAATAAATAGTTTACTCATTCATTTGAATGGCACAACAATTTAACACGTGCTTTCAACTGTCAGAAGTTATATCAAAATGTCTTTTGTTTTGGCACTTGCTACCTATTTCCTTTTTGCACTTCCAAAAAGCAGGTAAGAAAAAAGACACATTTACCCATAGGCAGCCCAAAACGGCGTGTAGAATGCACCAATAATGCTTCCAAATGTCAATTTGCATTAAGCTCGCCCCATTCCTTTGTCATTTGTCGCGCGCCGCAAGCACTCAATTTGAAAAGCAGTGTTGATGTATATAGATTATACCTAAGGTTGGCAACTATATCTCAACTGACGAATATACCACTTCGGCAAAACGCAAAATACTTCGTATACGTAAATAAAACATGATAAAAAAATTATACCACATTGAACTCTGATATTTTTTCTACATACCCGCATATAAATTTTGTTTTCAAGACTGCAAGAAAGATGAAAAATTTGTACAAACGTTTCATGGTCTGATGAAAATTTTGATGTGACTATGCGGGATGCCAAAGGTTATTTCATTCGTCATATTTTTAAAAAAATTATGTGATTCAATTGGTTGAAAAAATAAACAGTTTGTGACGTATTTATAGTAAAAATTTGGTTTCAGGGGGGAGGGGTTGAACTACAACAGGAAGACTGCTAAAATACAAGATCGATTTTTTTTCGAAGATGAAATGGTGGATTTTAAAAACTTTTTACATCCATCCATAACTTTTATCTACAGCAAAGCAACCAGGTAACTTTTGGCTACATGTACACGAAATGTCATGAAATTCTGAGCAATAATGGCGAAGAAAATGTGCTATAAAAAAGACGGCGATATGTAATGCGAGCAAGCTTCGTTGTGAAGCTCAGAAAAGTTATAGGTATGAACTTATTTTATAGCGTTTTTAATACTGTAACTCGGAACAATAGGTTGGATCATTTATTTTTCCTAGTAATCAAGTGTTCAGTATTAAATACTGGGTCTCTACAGTAGTTATAATTTTAAATAGCTATATAGCAAGAATATTTCGAAGTGAATTCTGTAAAACTGTTTTTATATCACTATAAAACTATTTTTATATGAAAACAAATTTGCATTTTGGCCTGTTTTATTTATCATCAGTGTAAAGACAGTACGTATTCACAGTAATAGATACAGTCACTAGTTTTTGTTAACTAACGTGTACTTTAAAGTTTAAACTAGGGAGATGTTTAGGCATTTATTATAGAATACATATTAAACTTTCAGAACTTTGATACAAGATTGTTTATATGTAAATGCAAAATTCCATGCTGGGATATAAAATAATGCTAGCACTCTTACAAATTGCAGCCTATTTTGTGAACACATTCACTCAGTATTAAACGGAAAAATGTATCCAACTTATTGAACCAAGTTAAATTAAAACGCTATAACTAAATTCACTGCCTATATACACTTTGTCGAGCAAGGTTCACCTCGAGGTTCACAACTCACAACGAAGCTTGCTCGCATTACATATCGCCGTCTTTTTTATAGCACATTTTCTTCGCCATTATTGCTCAGAATTTCATGACATTTCGTATACATGTAGCCAAAAGTTACCTGGTTGTTTTGCTGTAGATAAAAGTTATGGATGGATGTAAAAAGTTTTTAAAATCCACCATTTCATCTTCGAAAAAAAATCGATCTTGTATTTTAGCAGTCTTCCTGTTGTAGTTCAACCCCCCCTGAAACCAAATTTTTACTATAAATACGTCACAAACTGTTTATTTTTTCAACCAATTGAATCACATAATTTTTTTAAAAATATGACGAATGAAATAACCTTTGGCATCCCGCATAGTCACATCAAAATTTTCATCAGACCATGAAACGTTTGTACAAATTTTTCATCTTTCTTGCAGTCTTGAAAACAAAATTTATATGCGGGTATGTGGAAAAAATATCAGAATTCAATGTGGTATAATTTTTTATCATGTTTTATTTACGTGTGCGAAGTATTTTGCGTTTTACCGAAGTCATATGTTCGTCAGTTGAGATATAGTTGCCAACTTTAGGTATTTATATATATATATATATATATATATATATATATATATATATATATATATATATATATATATATATATATATATATATATATATATATATATATATATATATATATATATATATATATATATAATTTATCATTTATCATTTATCATTTATAGACCTGGAGCGAGGGGGATTCGGCGAAATATTACCCGAAGTGATGATATTATAATCAGTAATATTTCGCCGAATTCCCCGAGCGAAGGGTCTATAAATGATATATTATACCGAAAATTAAAAGCCTCCAAGTTGAGAAATAAAAACTTGACACATACCTTCGTGAATACGATGTTTTATTTTCGGATTAACGCAAGTATTCGTCGATTTTCTTTCGAATCACATATCGTTTGGAATATTAATGACAATATTTTTCAAAATTTGCTTCAAAATTTTGAAAAAGCCCCAGGTTTTACGTTTAAAATTTGATTATTCATCACTCATCAATGCTATTTATATTTTGTCGGCCATGTTTTTGTCATGCGTGTTGTCTCGCGCGGTCTACGCGAATAATGTTCCACCCCAACATGGGGTGGAACATTGTCAAAAGGAACGCAGGCTCGCTAATTGATGACGTAAGGCGTGATATCGCGATTAATTTCATGCTCACGTGGCACAAACTAAGCTTCCTGATTGGACAATTTGAATTTGAGGTATAATATAACGATATGGTCTGACCACTGGGTTTGACCAGTTTATGAATTTCATGTTTGATGGGTATATACAGCTATGCATTTTCGCAACAGTTTTTCATTACCAATGTACGTTTGTATTTTTTTGTTTGCTTCGCCGGACATCAGAATCAGCCCATGTTGACATGCCTATATATATATAGCTGTGTATCTCAATATCATGCAAGCACGGCTGATTGACATGCGCCCTGAAATATGATGTGGTTTCGCCATTGGCTAGAAAAGTATTCCATCAAAATCAAAAGTATTAAATCAAACAAATCCATGCTAACATTACTATTCCAGCGGCGCTGAAAATGCGGTTCCTGTGAAATCTTTGTGCTCCTAAAATACCTCAACTTTAAATAATTTTAGTTGTAAAATATACAGTATGAGTTTTATTTTATTTTTATAAATATTTTATTACGAAAAAAATAATCCAAATTTATTATGTTATATTGTGCGCTAGTGTCTAGTGAGGTATTTTGTTTTTAATGCTTTAAATAATTTTCAAATTTTATGAATTAATCATAACTTTAGAAATTTACCGATAGGAAGCATGCAGTGTGTTTCATATTTGAATATCAAATTTCAATCCGTATCGAAGCCGGAAGAACAACACATCATATTGTAGGAATACAGCTGTTTGTGGCGAATTTTACATGCAGGAATATATCTCTCATTTCTATAAACTGTGATACCACTTAATTATATAGCAGGTATGTAACTATATAAGTGACTATTGGTATATTATTATAGTTTTCGTATGAAACCATATGCATTAAAGTTAATTGCAGTCAGGTGTACAATATCAGACATGTTTTCATTCTCTGAATGAAATTTGTTGAGGGATTTAATCTCTATTTTATATAAACCAACGAGTGGCTATAAACACGGCAGCGTATTAATGTCGATACTTTATAGGTCGAAGAAACTGCAGTAGAACCTATAGTATACTAAATCACATCATTCTGAGTGCAAAAATAAACATACAAGTAAAAACTACCTCGATAAAATAAACAGTTCATAAGTTATTGCTTAGCATGAATACAATCTATAGACGCAATATCAGCAATATATCAAATCCGGCAATGAGGACTTTACTGGATATCCAATTCACGCAATTTGTGATATCTGACAAAGTCCGAATAGTTAGCGGATTGGATATGACATCTCAAATTTACAAATTATCTACAAATAAATCAGTATAATTTTAATTGAAATTTGAAGTTGACGAAATGCCATGCTATCACATATCAAGTTCCTGTCTCAGTTTAGCCTGCGTGCAGTCCCAGACTCCCAAAGGAAGTAGGGAGGCTTTGGGAGTCTGGGACTGCACGCAGGCTAGTCTCGGTTGTGATCTGCTTTTTTAGTACAACTCAATTCGTGAATTTGAGATCATAGTGAAGATAAGTAAGTAGAGGTGTGCCGATCATCCTAATGGCAGCTAATATAGCTAAGCTGAATTACGGTTTTATTCTATTGTCTAAACTATACCGCAGAGCCAGAGGATGTATATTTAAGCATCGGCAGCTTTCTAAAAGAGCCTGAATATATTATTTATCGTGAGTGTCGACAATTTTCAAATTTAACTGTTCATATAACCTGTATATCTAAGGCTTTTGAAGGTGTAAAGCCATTGTTGTAGCTCTATTATTCACGTTTAATCAACAGTTGTATCATTCAACGGCTTTCAGAAGTATTCGGATGGCTCTGCGATGGGAACGTCTGGTTTATTGCTGCACAGTTATTTCTCATGATCCCCGTGCTACCCTCATCATTTCTATTACTATTGCATAATTTTGCTATTTTTGCCAACCGAGTTGCCTGCAGAGGGGGGTAAAGTATATATAGACTTGCTCCAAGTCTCTCTCTGTGCTGTCCCACAGCTGAATTGCATGTAGCTGCATGTTTGCTGCCATAAAATGGGACCCCTAATGTTGGACACTGCTGTCGAGTGCCGCCTTAAACGTAATAAAGAACTTAACTTATAACTTAACATAAATTTAGATTTCTTACAGCCATTGAAAAAATATTGCCGTCGATAATTTAATTTTCGGCAGCAATTCCATGCCGTTTATATATAGCCGCCACCGTAGCCTGCGTAGCAGGCGCTATTTAGGGGGGACGGCGAGGGTGGGAGAAGGGAAGGGGGGGAATGCGAAGGCGAAGAGAAAGAGAGCGGAGGAAAAATGGCCTGTCTATAGTTTCTTCCACCCTTGCCCTCCCCCCCTGGATTGACTTCGCTGATAACCAGTTCATTTCACTCGCTTAAATGTTTCAGGAAATTTTTTTGCACAGAAATGAGAAAATACACAAATTCTGTCGGGAACTGTTTGTTGTCTTGTTGTGAGTCCCATTTAACTGGTAAACGAGTAGTTAAAAGGTAGTTTAAGCCCCTTATATAGTCAGCCTCTGAAAAATAAGAAGAGCATTCGTCCGGAAATTATTTAATTCTAGTATAACTTCCAGTTGAAGTTTGTTCAAGGCCGGCGAGAGCCAACCATGGGCCCCGGGACAAAATGACGATTGGTGAACACGATTGGTTTATACCATAAATGTACTTTTTTAATGTAGATTTAACTACCTGAATAAGATGATTACCGTCACAGGTTTTCCCATTTTATTTGGTCTCAGTTGTCTGTTGTTTCAATGTGAAGGTATAGGAGTCGGAACTTTGCAATTTATAATCTCAGTTTTTTATAAATGTCATATCATCGTTTTAATATCTTCGTTCACTCGTGATTTGAGCTGCTTGCGTAGCTGCAATATTTTTTGATCGGGCAGGCTGTACACTCTAAAAACACTCTGGTTAAATTTGGGTTAATTCAACCAGGATGGGGTTAAAAATCCACCTACACAATCCTGGTTAAAAAAATTAAACCATTTTCCTGGTTAAAAGTCCAAAGAAGTATGGCCAGATTTTTGTTGAATCAATAATTTTTAACCAGGAAATCAGTTAATTTAACCAGGAATGTGCTAGGTAGTTTATTGATCCAGTTCCTGGTTGAATTTAACCAGAGTGTTTTAAGAGTGTACGGACGTCGGATAGATTGCACGTAAAAATTGAGCAATTGTACTTCAAAATTATTAAAGGGAAGAGCGGCATACATACATACATACAGTGTTGTAACGAGTCGAGTCATTGACTCTGACTCGAGTCAACTCGAGTCGCTATTTTCAGCGACTCGACTCGACTCGAGTCCAATACGAAAAATGACTCGACTCGACTCGAGTCAACAGCCCCAAATGACTCG